ACAAAAAATACTGTAAGAAATTTGAAACTGGGGAGTTTTCATTTAAACAAGTAACACTAGGTTTAAGAAATCTGATTTCTTCCCAACATTAGTTTAAGTGCAAATTGACTTCTGAGGGGAGAACACCCAATGACAAAGACGCCTAGATATCTATGCCAGAGGAATTCAACATCATATAGTAAGCTTTTCCCATTTGCGTGAGGACAAGAGATAAATGGTCTTCGGGGTAGAATATTCAAAAACAACCAGTGAAGACAGGAGCCTGAACAAGACACTAACTACAAATACTGTTCAGCCAAGCTTGGCCTCACCCTCACCTTTCCCAACATCTGATTTCTGACACCATACTGAAAGATCAAGAGTGGCAAGGTGAAGGGTGAGGAAAGAGCTGGATAGTACTGAAGCACTTTGGGGAGGGAAAAAGTACCCTATTAATAATTATACCATGATAAAAATAATAATTATACCACGATAACAGGCATAAACTGGCATTTTCCAAATCAACCAGTACCCCTGGTAACCCTAAGAATACCTGGGGTCTTGTTCAAGACTTTGCCCCACCTCACTGTGACCTTAGGCAAGCCACTTACCCTCATTGGGGTCTTGTGAGCTGAACAATCTTTGGAGGGTCTTTCAAATTTATGGGCCCAATTTCCCAATAACCCCCAGGCCCCATCAAGTTACATACCTTAGTCATGTCAACAGTATCAGGTACAACGAACATTCCTGGAGGCGGCTCCTTATAAATGGACATGATATCCCTGTATAACACCAAAGAGGAGGTGGGGAAGGGAATGAGGGAGGGAAGACAAAAAGGGAATCCCTTGAGCAGGGCAGTTGTTATCACCTCAAAGAAGCCAGGGTTCGAGAAACTGGTGCTTGGTACCACAAATGTTTGCACTCTTTTGTTGGCCGAGAAATCTCAGCTGAGTACTTGTCAGGCAGGCAGAGAGCAAATTATTATCAAAGGGGCATTGTTTTCTCAGGAGAAGGGCCAAGAGATGAGGAAAAAAATCAGATATCCCAAATAGCATCAGATGTCACCCTGGAAAAGCCACATCCCATTTACTCTCATTTCCTCCCCCACAAGGCGATTCATTCATTCCCCACCTCCAATATTCCCAGGTTACTATGGAGAATGCTAAATGAAGATTTTTTAGTAACTAAAAAGACTATCAACTCCACTAAAACACCAATTCCATTCCCACCAAGTGAACCCATGTTGGGATGCAAATGAGGTAGGAAGAACTAATACTGTAATGGTCTTTTTCTTGCCCAATGAACTAATAGGGTAGCAGTCTCTCCTGGTTGGGAAGAGGGGACCCTCTGAAATTGATGAGAACCTCACCTCTGCAATAACAACTACTAGAGATTTAAGCATCTATGTCATGACACAGAGTAGTAACAGCACTCTGCTGCTCACGGAAGACTGGCAGCCATCAAGGAGAGAATGCTGTGGCAGCCGACTTGGAAACTCTATGGGGCATTTCTGCTCTGTCCTATAGGGCTAGGAGCCAGAATCAGCCAGACGGTAGTGGGCTTGGTTTTTGGTTAAGTCGAGTTCAAGGAGTGTTTTGTTCTGTTGTACACTTGGCTGCTATGAGTGGGGACAAGATTCAACTGCACCTAACAACAAAGTCATGTCTTACAAATGGAATGGAGCAGAAGATCAAACGGGTGTATGTACATTCTAGGTGCAAAAAGACTAGGGACTTATATGGATGGCTAGGGGCATAAAAAGTGCACAATAGAGCAGAGAAAGGAAATACTGGCTAAATTTAATGGTGTATCGGGAGACTGAAATGGCTAGGGTGCACAGGAGTTGAGGAGTTCTGAGTTTCTTGAGAAACAGGCGTCCTGTGTCAGGAGATACACCAGGTACTTAACACACATTGTACTGTCTCATTTTTATTACAACCTTGAAAGGTAGATAGGGATTCAAAAGGTGGGGTGTTTGAGAATACCTCAATGAGGATACTTAGGATATGGGCATGGGAAGGAGAAAGACTGTGGTTCAGGATTAAGAGCAGCTAAAAAGTCTCAGCCTTTTCCTATGTGATAAGGTATTATTAAATGATATGATCTAAACTCAGTCATCCCAGAAATAAGCACAGAAAGGACATAGGCCTTTGTTCCTGTATTTCAACTGGGTATATTTGCTTGAGTTAAAAAAAAACAGACGATGCAAAGAAAAGAAATACAAGAAAGAAGGTCCTTGAGTGGGATATTACAAGCCAAAGTAAGACTGAGGGAAAGGAGCCTCGAGTTCCCAGGTGTGAATGGACAAATTTGGGGTCCTGTAAAGGGGGTTCCTGGGATGATTGCAGGTATAGGAGATCTGGGCACAGGAAGGGGCTGTGGGAGACAGGTGAAGGAGAGGCCAATAAAAGAAACGCGGATTCGGGGTCTGAGGTCTGGCGGAAGCGGTCTGTGTATATGGTTACTAATGGGGCTGGTAGAAACCGGGGGAACCGATGGGTGGGGCCTCCCGGCAGCATCCAGCAAAGATGGGACGAGGAAGGAGGGAGAGGGGCGGCGCGGAGGGCGGGAGGGGGTGTTACTGTAGCGCGAAAGGGTCGGATTTCGGGCGGGAGGCACGGGGATATGGGGGAGGGTGTCCGGAACGGAGACGGAGGGCTCATGGGAGGTTGCCCAGGGGCGGGGTCGAGTTTGGGTAAGAGAGGGGGGGGGTTTGGTGCTTGTGGGGAAGGGGGCTAGGAAGGAGGCGGGTCAAGGGTCCCGGCACTCCGAGACGGCAAGATCTGGGCCTTGGGACCAGGCTGCCGTGAGGAAAGCGCGCGGCAGCATGGAAGGAGCGAGAGTAGTAGTGGGAAAGGGTGGGGGGCGGGGAAGGTCGAACCCCTGAGCTCGGGGCTGGGGGAGGAAAAACCCCGGCTCACCGCTTGATCCGGAGTAGACACTGCGGCGCGGTTCGCTCGCCGTCCCAATCGGAGCTGAGCGTGGGGTCCCAGTGGCTAAGCAGCGCGGCCCCATGGGCAGCGGCCGAGGGCGGGAGCCCAGGCAGCGGAGCCAGGCCGCTCCCCGGTCCCCCGACCCCGCCCGCTGCCGCCGCCGCCGCCCACACATCCGGCAGGAAAGGCGACCCGAACCCGCCGCTGCTACCGCTAACGCCAACAACACCAGCAACGCCGCTTGCCCCGGGGCCCGCCGCCCCAGCACCCGCCGTCGCCGCCTCCTCAGTCGGACTCTCCGCCATCGCTGCTTCGCTTCCGGGACTGCACGACAGCACGTCCGCCGACCAGAGCGGCCGCTACTCCCTCCAGCTACAGCACCACCGAGAGCCGGGCCAGAGTGTCCCCACCCTCCGTTTCCACAGACTGGGCTGCGCTGGTGGCGCTAGCTCCGCCCACCCCGCCCCAACCAGCGAGAGGCTCGCTGCAAGAGCGTCCACCCACGGTCCTCCACAGTGGGTGGGGCTAAGAACTATCGGGCTGAGCGTGGGTTCTGGGTCCGCCTTGGTCCCGCGCTTTGCGGTAGTAGGTTCTGAGGGGTGTCAGGGCGTGGAGGTGCAGTTGAGAGCCCAATTACGTGGACTAGTTTATTTTCTAGTGTTGAGAGGAAGCGAGAGCCCCACTCCACCTCTTAAAGAGAATGTTCTTTAGACATGCCCGTGGGGTAGAATTGGGGGCCCAGCTTCCTTTCAAGGAGATTGAGGATGAAGTGACTCAGGTGACTTTCAATCCGAAAGACTCCGTGATTTATCCTTTCTCCCTGCACCCTCTCCCACCAGAGGCTGGTTGCCATGCCTCCCTCCTGCAACAGGACCTAGAAGAAGGAGGAATCAGAAAGAACAGCCACTTCATTTTAAAGTTTATTCAACACACACATATTTATTGAGGGCCTACTAAACGCCAGGCACTGTAGCTAGGCGTTGCCATGGGAATAATGAAACAGACCCAGAGAGACAGGAAGAAAAACAGACCTCCTGACTCAGCTTGGTTGCTTCTTCCCACAAACCCTGAGTATACAGGAATCAAGGGGGTGTGAGTGTAAATCCTGGGAGGATTCCTCAGGACTTTCCTGGGATTTGTAAAGTGTAAAATAAAGCTATGGACTAAAAATAACTCCCTTTTCTTCCCAGCAAGAATATAGGTTTATAATCTTATCCAAAAACCCTTCGGGTCAGATGTTTTTCAGAATTTAGCACCCTCAGCAGGGCTTGGGGTAGCACCCAGGAACCACAATGGTATTTCTGCAGCCATGCACACACTAACTTGAATACCTTTATGAATATTCATGCTAAATTGAATGTATAGTTTCACTTTAGATCGCACTTTGCCAACAAATTTGTTTTTTTAAAGTCCAGTTTCAGAGCTTTGTGGATTTCCAATAAGAGACTGTAGATTTGAATAATAATGGTCAACATTTATTGAGGGCTATGAAGTAAGTACTATTATTAGTCCATTCTGACAGATGGAAAAACGGGCTAACAGTTCAGTCACTTATGCAGGGTCATACTGCAAGTGACAGAATTGGAACTGTAAGCCACATTCTGTCTGAATCTACAGAACAAGTGTGTTACATCTTACTTGGAACTCCCACACTCTACAGTATTGCTGATGTGAAGTGTCTAATTGGTTCCAACTCATATTGTGGACCTTGTACTAACAGTTTAATACTTTTTGCTTCCTGCTCTCCCCCCCCACACACACACATACACATAAATACAGTTTAAACCCTCAGCACTCTGAGTTATGTTACCTATGAATCCAGCAGACTTTTGGTGTGGTGCTGGATAAGTACTGGACAGTGAACCACAAGGTCGTCAGTTCAAACCCACCAGCTGCTCCTCTGAAACCCTACACAAGGTCATATGAGTTGGAATCTACTCAATGGCACATAACAACAGTGAATCCAACATAGGACCTAACACAGTTTTAGCATTTAACATGAAGCAAAGTAAATACAGTATTTTACACGGATTTCATGTTTTATTGATATAGTGTTTGACACTCTATAATAAAGATATCAGAATATCTCTGAAAGGTTATATGAGACTGGAATAGGGGTAGCCTCTGGAATGACTGGTTGCCAGAAGATGGGCTGCTGAGTATTGTAGTGTGGTGCTGTAGGGTAAGTGCAGGGTCACAGGTTGGTTTGAACCACAACATCAGCATTTCAAACTTACCAGTGGCTCCTCAAAAACCCTATGAGTCAAAACCAACTCGACAGCATGGCATTTAACAAAAAGCAACCTTTCAAACATGCTATGCATCTAATACCAAATCAAACTATATATTTTATTCATTTGTAAAGGATCCCAGAATTCTGCTTGGATATTTTTTATACAGTAAGGTGATCAAAGGACAACTTGTCAGTGAACTCACACAAAGACAAACACTACTCCATAGCTCAACCATGGCTGTTGACTGTAGAAGCCAAAAAGATGGACTAAAAGAGGATGTGGATTCCTCAGTATGTTGCCTTAATTTTGGGCCATTGTTTCCAAGTGCAAGGTCTGATAGTGATGGGGTAATGGATAGAAAATACTTTATATTCAGAAATCAAAGGCTCAAGACCCTAATTTGCACTCCACTCTTAGTCTCTTTGAGCCTATTTCTGCACCCATAGAATGGTGATGATTTCTACCTCTCTGGATTTTTCTGAGGATGAACTGTGACACTTCCAAAAGTGTTTTTTAAAATGGCAAGTACCATGCAAATAATTGGCACCTCTCTTGCCTATGTACTTTCTTCTCTCTTTGTTCATGATTATTTTCTCTACTTGGAATGCTCTTTCCCTCTACTGAACCCTGTAGTGGGTAGTGTAGTGGGTTACAGGCTGTTAACAGCAAGGTCACCAGTTGGAATATACCAGTCACTTTGAGGAAGAAAGATGAGGCTTTCTGCTCCTGCATAGATTTCGTCGGAAACCCTATACAGGTCACTATGAATTGGAACCAACATAACTACCACCACTACCACCTACTCTACCAAGGAAAAGCCTCAGTTTATTGATCTCTCTGAGTCTGTGTCCCTCATCTATAAAATTTGGAAAATAATAGCAGCTATTAAGTAAAGGTAATATGATGATGAATGTGTATAATATCAGGCCAGGGTAAATGTTTTAACTCTTATAAACTCAATTATTTAAAGCATTCAATCTTATTATTCTTATTCATCCTTCAAAACTGACTGGAATATGACTTTCTTTGCCAAGCTTTAATACTTCCAGACATATTATTATGAATAATTAGTCATTTTTAATGGCTCCCTTTTATTTGCTTGACTATCTATACATTTATTATGGCCCATGCCATCTTTATTTTAGTTGTTTGATTACTCATCTGTCTGACCACTAGATATAACCTCCTCTAAGGTAGTAAGTGGAGCTCCTGGTGCAGCACTGTGGATTAATGGGCTAGACTGCAAGGGTGGCTTGAACTGCAAGGTCAACATTTCGAGCTCATCAGCTTGATGGTCTTCCTCTTTTTACTAATCCTCCAGCAAGCATAATGCCCTTCTCCAGGGACTGGTTCTTTTTGATAACATGTCCAAAGTACATGAGATAAAGTCTCACCACCCTCACTTCCAAGGCGCATTCTGGCTGCACTTCTTCCAAGACAGAAACCCTGTACAGGGTCACTATGGGTCGGAACCGACTCAACAATAACCTCTCAGATGGACCTTATTTTTAATCCCCCCTCCAAAGGGTTAAGTCAAGCTCGCCCAAAGAATCTACATTCCAGGGATTGAAAAACCTGAGGAAGGCAGCTTCTTAAAACAGGACCTTTTCAATACCAACACCTCCAGGAGGCCTGCAAGCTAAAAGGAAAGGCAAGAGAGGCCAGCTGAATATCCTGAACGGACGCTACTTAGTCCAGAGCTCCAGGACTTTCTCAAGGCACACCCAGCTGCTTCTCCCTGGCAGCTTGGCCAAAGGGTAAGAATGTGTCTTCTGGAGTCCTCCCATGCCCTTTGGGGAAGGAGGAGAGCTAAGCAGCCTTCCTGCAGGACCTAAATCCAAACTTCCCTCCTCCCCTATTAACAGGACTGCCCTGCCTTGAGGAGGTCCCTTGGTGCAACCAAGTTTGGTAGCACCTTGCTCATGGCAATTAGGCATGTGCCTTTCCCCAAGGACAAGAATTGGCATGTGTCCTAGAGTCCAGGTTACCACTGTGCCTTCTAAATAAGTAAACACATAAATAAAAAAAATTTTTAAGTATAAATATATATACACCATGGAAATTCTTCTCCCTGTCCACTTCCTCAGAGTCCCATGTTCACTGTTCTATTCTCACTTCCCTTCTAGTGTTGTGTTTTTTGTCTTAGGTTCAATGTCAGAGATAAATGAAACTTAAGAGTTCCCAGTCAAGGTCATAAATCCTGGGTGAAAAGGAGAAATCAGAACTTGGACTGGGTGTTTGAAACTTCTAAGCAAAAGTATTTAATAATTTAATAATACATGTATTGGGGTATGTTATCTCATTACATCACAGATCCACGCACATACATGAGGGAACTTCAAAAAGGTTGTGGGAAATGGAATTAAAAGATAATGGAATTGAAAAATAGTATATTGGGCAAATCTGCTGTGAAAGACTTCTTTAAAGTGTTCAATAGCAAATATGTCACTTTGAGAACTAAAGTGTACCTGACCCAAGCCATGGTATTGTCAATCACTTCATATGCATGAGAAAGCTCAACAATGAATAAGAAAGACCAAAGAATTTAAGCCTTTGAATCATGGTGTTGGTAAAGAATTTCAAATATACCACGGACTGCCAGAATGAACAGATCTGTCTTGGAAGAAGTGCAGCCAGAATGCGCCTTGGAAGTGAGGGTGGTGAGACTTTATCTCATGTACTTTGGACATGTTATCAAAAAGAACCAGTCCCTGGAGAAGGGCATTATGCTTGCTGGAGGATTAGTGAAAAGAGGAAGACCATCAATGAGCCGGATTGCACAGTAGCTACAACAAAGGGCTCAAACACAGGAACTATTGTGAGGATGGCGCAGGACTGGGCAGTGTTTCCTTCTGTTGTACATGTGGTCACCGAGTGGAACCAACTCAATGGCACCTAACAACAACTACATTTAAGTGTGGTGGTTCGTATGACAAGCACTGTACTGTGAACCACAAGGTTGGCAGTTCAAACCCACCAGCTACTCCGTAGGTGAAAGATGAGGCTTTCTGCTTCCACAAATTTTTACAGCTTCAGAAACTGTATACAGAGTTGTTATGAGTCAGAACAGACTCGATGGCACTTAACAACGTATATAGAATTGTGGGTTGTTATTGTTAAGTACTGTCGAGTCGGTTCTGACCCATAGCGACCCTGTATTGGGTTTCTGAGGAGCAGCTGGTGAGCTTGAA